GCTCCACTTGGGGTGGGGGGCACTGGGAGGAGGATGAGGACGAGGAGGAGGAGGAGGCGGAGGAGGAGGAGGAGGACGAGGAGTAGGAGGAGGAGGGGGAGGAGGAGGAGGGGGGGGGAGGGGCAGTAGGAGGATGAATGCGAGGAGGAGCAGGAGGACGAGGAGGAGGAAGAGGAGGAGGAAGAGGAGGAGGAGGGGAGAACCAGTGTAAACCCAAGACTCATCATCGATGTTGCAATCAACACTCCCTCCAAGTTCCTTCTCCATGGGTTCCAAGAAGGATCTATGCTCACTGCTGGAAGAACCCCTTTTGAAGACAACCGTCTGAAACTCTTCAACCGTGCCAAAGCACCGTTCCTGGGACTTCAACTCCGCGAATCAACGTTACTGTTGAGACTTTGGCGATTCGAAATCGTGCCAGAGCACCGTTTCTGGGAAGTCAACTCTGCGAATTAACGTGACCGCCGCGTCCTGACAATCCAAACTCGTGCCATACACGTCTTCTCGGACGTCAGCCATCAGCATCTTTGAAACTGATGTAAACTGTTAAGACGACTGTGCGCGGCGTTTATGTGAGAGCCACATTTAAAAGAGGACCCATGTCCGCGGTGCTACGGCGAGAGCCACATGTTGAAATGGAGCCGCTTACCATCCGTGAAGCCGTTGCGGATTTTTAAGACGAGAGTGCGCGGCGCAGAGGCGAGATCCACATCTTGAGAAGGAGCCGCCCTCCATCTATGAAGCTCCTGCGCGGTGCTAAGGCGAGAGCCACATTCTGAAAAGGAGCCGCCCTCCCTTCTTGAAGTTTGCGTAACTTTTAAGAACGGATGTGCGTGGTGCTGAGGCAAGAGCCACATTTGGAACAGGAGCCGCCCTCGTTTTTTTGAAGTTCTTGCAGACTTATAGGGCGGATGTGCGCGGCGCTAAGGCGAGAGCTACATTTGACATTTGAAAGCGGCCCGCCCTCCGTCAGTGAAACTGCTGCAGACGACCGCTGTCCCTCGCTCTCTCTCAATATGTCTCCCATTATTTTTTTGTCTCTGTTTGTCTCTCTGTCTGCATGTCTGCCTGTCTCTATGCCTGTCTCTGTTTCTTTCTCCTTCTCCGTCTCTGCCTCCATCTCCGTCTCTGTCTCTGTCACCCCGTCTTCGTCTCCGTCCCTTTCTCTGTCTCTGTCTCTGTCAGGCAGTCAGTCTGCTTGTCTGTGTGTCAGTCAGTCTGTCAGTCTGTCAGTCTGTCAATCTGCTTCTGTCTCTGTCTCTGTCTGTGTCTCTGTCTTCGTCTGTGTCTCTGTCTTCGTCTCCGTCTTTCTCTCTCTCTCTCTCTCTTTCTCTTTCGCTCTCTCTCTCTCTCTCTCTCTTTCTTTCTCATTCTCTCTCATTCTCTCTCTCTCTCTCGGACGCCCAACAGTATCGAGTTCAGATCTGGCGGCTGCACGTGCGGCACGGGCGAAAGGAGGTGGAAGCTTCCGAGCCCCCCCCGCGCGCCTTCTCGGGAAAGCCGCCCCCCCCGCTCGCCCCCGTCGCCCCGTCCCCTTCGGGCGCACCGCCCGCACGCGCCTTCCGCCAGTGTTTTTTTCCCTCGAGCCCACTTCGGCTCCCGGCCCCACAGGCGCCCCAGACCCCCGACGTCATGATCTCTTCGCCCGCCCGCCTCCTCCGCCTTCCAGCTCCTCTCCCCTCCTCCCCCTCCTCCTCCTCCACCTCCTCCTCCACCTCCTCCTCCTCCCCCTCCTCCCGCTCTCTCCCCCTTCCGGGGTCTTCTCCCGAATCGTCGGGCGTCCTGCCCTGCCCGCGCTCGGCGCCTCGGTCCCCCCCCCTCCACCCCCCTTGCTCTTGGCCGGGGCTTGGCAGAACCGGACAGGCGGTGCCCAGCTTCGGAGGGGCAGGCGTGTGTCCTGACAGACCTCCTGTGCCCTGTCTCCCCAAGTAGAGCTGTGCGTAGCCCGCCTAGCTTTTCAGCGGAAGAGGTTCGCTCTCGCCCCGCCGACCAACAAAAAAAAAGAGTCTTGACGGACCTCCAGACCTGCAGAGGTCTCGGCCCGTTCCCCGGGACCAGTTTCTCCTCCCGAGTCCCGCTTCGGAGGGTCCCTGGAACCAACAGGGGCCCCCAGAGGCCGAGCACGGCGAGACCCCCCCCCAGCACCCGCCAGGCCTGTCTCATGACTCGAGGGGGTCTGGCTTAATGCCAGCTCGGACCCCGCCCAGTCGTCATCGTCATCATCATCATCATCATCATCATCATCATCAGCATCATCATCATCCTCATCCTCATCCTCATCCTCATCCTCATCAGCATCGTCGTCGTTGTCGTCATCATCAGCATCATCAGCATCATCAGCGTCATCCTCATCCTCATCCTCATCCTCATCCTCATCCTCATCCTCATCCTCATCCTCATCCTCATCATCACAATCTCCACCATCATCATCATCACAATTACCATCATCACCATCATCATCATCATCATCATCATCATCATCATCATCATCATCATCATCATCATCATCATCAGCATGATGATGATGATCATCATCATCCTCATCCTCATCTTCCCATCCTCATCCGCATCCGCAGTCATTTTGGCTGAAACCAATTTTGGCTTCAGGCCCCACAGGCAGGCCAGCTCATCCTCATCCTCATCCTCTTCCTCAACATCATCCTCATCCTCATCCTCATCCTCATCCTCATCCTCATCCTCCTTCTCATCCTCGTCCTCATCCTCATCCCCATCATCATCATCATCATCATCATCATCATCATCATCGTCATCATCATCATCATCATCAACACCGTAATCGTCATCATCATCCTCATCCTCATCCTCACCCTCATTATCATCATCATTCTTATCTTCATCCTCATCCTCCTACTAATGCTTATTGTCCTCATCCTTCCCCTCATCATCATCATCATCATCACCATCATCATCACCATGTGCATCATCATTCATAATGATCATCATCACGTCATCATCATCATCATCATCGTCATCGTCAGCATCATCAGCATCATCAGCATCATCATCCCCATGCTCATCCTCATCCTCATCCTCATCCTCATCCTCATCCTCATCATCACAATCTCCACCATCATCATCATCACAATTACCATCATCACCATCATCTTCAGCATCATGATGATGATGACCATGATCATCATCATCATCATCATCATCACCATCATCATCATCCTCATCCTCACCTCCCCATCCTCATCCGCATCCGCAGTCATTTTGGCTCAAACCCATCTTGGCTTCAGGCCCCACAGGCAGACCAGCTCATCCTCATCCTCATCCTCATCCTCATCCTCATCCTCTTCCTCAACATCATCCTCATCCTCATCCTCATCATCATCCTCATCATCATCACCATAATCGTCATCATCATCCTCATCCTCCTTCTCATCCTCGTCTTCATCCTCATCCCCATCATCGTGATCATCATCATCATCATCCTCATCCTCACCCTCATTATCATCATCACTCTTAACTTCATCCTCATCCTCCTATTAGTGCTTATCGTCCTCATCCTCCCCCTCCTCACCATCATCACCATCAGCATCATCACCATCATCATCACCATCTGCATCATCATCCATCATGATCACCATCATCATCATCGTCATCATCAGCATCATCCTCATCATCAGCATCATCATCATCCTGATCCGCATCCTCATCCTCATTCTCATCCTCATCCTCATCATCACAATCTTCACCATCATCATCATCATCATCATCATCATCATCATCATCATCACAATTACCATCATCACCATCATCTTCAGCATGATGATGATGATGATGATGATGACAATCATCATCATCATCATCATCATCATCATCATCATCATCATCATCATCATCATCATCATCTTCCTCCTCATCCTCATCTCCCCATCCTCATCCGCATCGGCAGTCATTTTGGCTCAAACCCACCTTGGCTTCAGGCCCCACAGGCCAGCTCATCCTCATCCTCATCCTCATCCTCTCCCTCAACATCATCCTCATCCTCATCCTCATCCTCATCATCATCCTCATCATCATCACCATAGTCGTCATCATCATCCTCATCATCATCCTCATCCTCCTTCTCATCCTCGTCCTCATCCTCATCTCCATCATCATCATCATCATCATCATCATCATCATCATCATCATCATCACTCTTATCTTCACCTTCATCCTCATACTCATGCTCATCGTCCTCATCCTCCCCCTCCTCACCATCATCACCATCATCATCATCACCATCATCATCACCATCAGCATCATCATTCATCATGATCATCATCATCACCATCATCATCATCATCATCACCATGATCCTCCCACTCCTCGTCGTCATCAGCATCAGCATCATCATCACCACCATCATCATCATCACCCTCATCATCCTCATCACCATCATCGCCATCACCATCATCACCATCATCGTCATCATCATCATCCTCATCATCCTCATCACCATCATCACCATCACCATAATCACCATCATCATCATCATCACCACCATAATCACCATCATCGTCATCATCATCATCATCATCATCATCATCATCATCATCATCATCATCATCATCGTCATCATCATCCTCCTCATCATCATCACCATCCGAACCATCATCATCCTCATTCTTCTCGTCTCCTCCTCCTCCTCCTCCTCCTCCTCGTCTTCCTCCTCCTCATCCGCATCCGCAGCCATCTTGGCTCAAGCCCATCTCGGCTTCCGGCCCCACGGGCAGCCCAGTTCGGACCCCGCCCAAGCCATGGAGCAGGCGCGGCTGCTGCGGCCCCCGAGCGCCCGCGCGGCGGACGAGCCGGGCGCCAGCGACGGCCCCGCGGCCCGCCCGCGGGGCCAGGCCTCGCCCTCGTGGAGGCCGCGGCTCGCCGCGGGCCTCCTGTCCGTCGCCGCCCTTGGCGCGGTGGCACGGCTGGGGCACCCTGGGTCTGGAGGATCTCCTCCCCGTCGTCCTCCTCCTCCTCGTCCTCCTCGTGAT